TTATGTGTTTCATGGCTAGGAACCCTCATCTGCACATGTGGGAGAATGAGGAACCATAGGCAGAATGAGTCGGCCTACGGTTCCTCATTCTCCCACATGTGCAGATGAGGGTTCCTAGCCATGAAACACATAACTTTTTGTAAAAATGTTTTTGTTTGTAAAAATGCGCATACAAACCAAAATAAACAGACCTTACAAAAAAGAGGCATGAAACCCTTCACCTGGTTGCACAGTTTAGGTTAAGGAATCTCAGTCTTTCCAGTCTAGGACAAAGACGATGTGGTCCAAGTACATGTCTACTTCACACTAATTGCCAATACAAGGACACAGGTTAACAAATAGAAAATAAAGTTGATATCCTTTAGAATGGAAAACAGGAAGCATTTCTTTATACAAAGGACTGTGTGCGTATCTGGGGCTCACTAGCCAGGCACTAGAGACTAAACTACCTAACAAGCAAGGCAGGCTACATGGCCTCAGCCTTTCTTATGCTCTTAAGTACGAAATACTGATACTCTTATCCTTATATAGACTTCTTCACCCACCCCGCCCACTGCTATGTAGTTAATTGATATACTATAATTCTGTAAAGTGCTCTGTGGCAAACCATTGAGAAAGGATCTACAGCAAATGAAAGACTGAATGTAATGCCTTAAGATTATATGTGCAACACTGTTAAACCCAAGGAGCACTTGAAGGGAGAAGTAAGGAGGAAATTTCAGTGAAGACCATTTATACCAGGAGCCACTGGGTTGTAGCAGAAACCCTGAATGCAGAGCTGATCGAGCTGTCATGTGGACACAGGAGAGTGGTAAGAGGGAGAAGATGTGCTGATTGGGTTGATCTTTGCAGAACATAGTCACAGACGCGAGCAATTAAAAAAAAATACAAGCAGGAAACAAAAAACTGGAGCAAACCGAGTTCCCCAGACCTGAAAATCATACACAGGACAAAAAACCTTGAGGGTCCAAGAGAGATACGTGATAGCTATCTGCAGGTCTGCGTCCAGACTGATGATGATGTGCTTGGTAATTAGCTCTTCGCTTTATAGATTTCTCTGCTTTCACACACTTGTTAGTAGGTCTAACAAGTTGCACTTTTCTCATGACTTGACGGTTTGATGGTGTACAGATAGCTGCTGGATTAAAACACCTTTATATGCGACACAGGGCCTGCTGCAAATGATCAGGCAAAGGGCTGATGTTTGGAGGATGGTCAGTGAAATGCAAAAGCTTAAGAATTGCAAATGGTTCCGGTGCAACAGGACAGGTTTTAACATGGCACCTTTCAGCAACAAGGATACCCTGGGGGAAACAGTGATGCTCAGCATACTTTGAGAAAACACAAGGGCATCCCCCTTTGAAGAACAGACAGGAGTGCTGTCAGGCACCGGAACCATGACGTGAAAGCACTGAATCTGATGCGAACAGCCGCTGTTGAAGGTCTGATTGCTGACGGAGGTTGCAGTTGACTGTCAGCCAACCAGACTGGAGCAAAAGCTGATTAGTCAGCTTCCAGTCTCCATTTTTAAAAACAGAAAAGACCTATTTAGCAGTTTTTTGCCATGGAGGGTCACTGATGAAAAGTCCCCAAATCGTGCGAGGCGTGGTTGCTTCCAGGTAGATCCAGAAACGCAGAGGCACTGCCTTCTCCTCTTGGTATCCAGCTGTCATCGCTAACCCTGCCTGCAGCCGGCCTTCGATGTGGAAACCTCACGACACACGCTGCGCGTTGGCTGAAGAAACTAGAGCACGTTGCAGCACTGCAATGCAGCAAGCATGCCTAGCCCACTTAAATGTCAGGACTGCCTGTGGCGCAATCTGGGTTAACACGTTCTGGACACACAGCAGTGGCAGTCCGGCTGAAGGTTCCTGCAGTTCCCACTCCGTAGGCGTGACAACGATCAAGGCACTGATCTCTGAACACCAGCTTAAACGGCCTCCATGCTGTGTTCCCTGTTGCGCTGGGGTAACAGTCTAGCCATCTTTACTACAGAGTGACCTCCATGCCAGTTTCATCTCCGTAGTTTCGGGGTTGGTATTCCTTTAGGATGATCAGATTAGGTTGATGCAACATCTTTTTTTTGGGACTTGGTACCATTATACGCGAGTGTCTCTTTCCTCCGTCTAAAAACCGAGACAAGACCCAGAGTGGCAGGATCTGCATTGCGAGGGACACACCTCTGTCCCTCCAGCCGAAAGCTGCTGAGCATGATCACTGCAGGGGTTTTCAGCTACAGAAAACGAAGCTCGGGCTTTCCGGAGGTTCTGGGGAGATTTCTGGTGCTTGACAGACCTCAAAAGTAACAGACAAAAGACGTTTCTCGCGTTTCGACCACCAGCCACTGACTCATCAGCAGCAAATCCCTTCTATTGTTTTCCTGTGCAGTCGAGGTTTATTTCTACAGGGCTCCTTCAGTTGCTGACTATAACTCATTACTGTGTGTAAAGCGTTAGTTTGCTTAGTAAGTAATTACATTTACATGCACGTTAATGAATAATACAGTAGATACCTTCTCAGTATGGGTCTCTTTTATGGAATCATGAGCTTCTCTGCCCTAAATATAGCGCTGGGTTAAGTGAAACCTTTGACCCCAATCAAACCTTTGACCCCAACCTCCCCTTTGCATGATCCAGACCTAGAACTTCAGGGTGCATTTCCCCTCTCCATTCAGAAAGAGGTTTAGTCATTTTCCTTAGGAATGTGAATTTAATCCATGGCCCAAATTATGACATTGTTATGTGGAGAAAAAAAATGGAAACTAATATTTGCATTCGAGCGAAAAGCTTTGCAGGTTTGTCTCGTTGGAAAATCTTTCAACGCATTCTTTAAAATCTTTTATCTATTATCTCCAGACTGCAATAATCACTTCACATGTTGTTCCTCTCCATGTTCTCCTGTTCCAGTGCACATTTTCTCAACTGGTTGTGGAATCAGTCTCCAGGTACAGTATATCCCCACCCTCTGTTCCCTGATTCTGTGCTTGAAACAGCTCCAGCGATTAATCTGAATGATTTCCCTTGGAAAACCTCAACCCCGTCATCTTTCTCCCAAGACTGAAGAGATCATGTCCCTTCAGCCATCCCCACTGGCTGGAGTGGCCTAGTTCTCGTGTTTAAGACTAACTGGATTGCCAGTTGCCGCTGTATTGATTTGCTCCCAGCAGAACGTGAAAGCAGCTTTCTGTTTCTGCCTCCCACTTCCCCATTCCAGCACGGTTTGCTTCTCTCTGTGACGGTCCCAGGAAGCCTCATACAGATAGAAAAGCGCAATTTATAAAGAGTCTTGCAGTGTGCTTCGTCCAGGAGGAAGTGTGTACTTGCTTGTGCAGAATATTTCCCTAATTTGCATCAGAACCGTTTCTGCGCTCAGAATAATCAAGGATTGAACTGGGGGGGGGGGTTATCTTACAGTACGACTGTACTTTCTCCTTCAGTACTTGATCGCAGAGTTGTTTTGTACAAACTGCCTTTGGCTGTTTTGTTAGGGACGAATAACACACTGAAATCTAAAGTGTCCCTTTTTGTGTGTTTCAATCCTAATATGTAGTAGTACGTAACGGATATTGCTGTTTCAACAGCTGTCATTCTCTTGCTGGGCCACCCCAGAAACCAAAGTTGAATCAGTCTATTTTGTTTTCCATTGTTTAAATAAACACATATAAATTGAACCATCCGCAGTGAAACCTTATTCTTTGCTGGAACAATCAAACTCCCTTTCTTGTAAAAAAAGTTCATCAAGCCCACCTGTAAAATGTAAAATGGACTCATGAAAAGACTCATCTCACACTTTGCAGCTTGGCCAGTGCCGTTTCTGTAACAGCAGAGAGCAGAATCAAAAACTGGTTGGGCAGGGTGGCTGTGCCTACGGAGGTAATCCCACATTTACCCTGGGAAACTGCAAGGCTTCTCTCCTGTTGGAATACAGGGCCATCCCGAGCCTGCGGATCCTGTGAGCTCATTGCACAGTGCCCAGTCCAGGGAGTTGCTGGAGGTGCAGTGGGGGTGGGTTAGTATATTTGTCATGCTGTTCTATGTCTAGAATTTGTGTGAAGTCACATGCTTCTTGAGCCAGTGGCTTTCAAAACCTTGGCGGGATGTGTCTTCATGTCCAAAGCATCCTTTCGCAAAAATGCCAAAGGAACCATCATGAAGACTGAGCCACATGGTCGGCATATCAGCCTTCCGCGCGAGCTTCTGCATCAGGCCCTGCAGGTGTGTCTATGTCAGCTCCATTTTGTATTGCTGCTGTACGGCCTGCAGCTGTATGCTCTCTCAAGCCAAGGCTTCTGCTCAGAATGAGGCAGGGCTGAGGGCCGATTACACCGGGCCTAGTATCCTTTAGATTGTACCGTCCAGTCTCCTTCACCATTTTGGATTACAAAACTGCCACTTTCCGAGGCCAGAAAATGGAAACAAATATGTTGTGCTTCCTTGTTTAAGAGCAAAAGACAGGAGTAAAAGTGAAAAAATAAAGGGAAGGAGAGATGATCGAGCGGGGGTTGATTTCCCCCAGAAAAGTGAAAGAGAAATAGGCAGAGCAAAGAGGTCGATGTCACAACAAGCCTTTTTTGAAGTTGCAGCAAAGGTAAAACTCTGCAGTAGACACGCTGCCTTCACAAGGCAAACTTTAGTCAGTCAACTTGACGAGGTGATAAGAAATGAGACTAAAACTGGGGCGTGCTATGTGCCATCGTATATTTCAGCATCCCGCGTGATTCAAGATAGAAAGAGATCGACATTTTTTTCGAAGGAAATAAGAATTGATTACCCTTGGCATTACAAACGAGACGCCGGTTGTTTTGTACTCTTTTCAGTCCTGGCTCCTTATTTTACACCCCCCTCAACAGCACAGAACGTGCGCTCTGGAATCGGAGTGTGCAGTGGAGCCGCCAGGTTACTGCAGGTGCAGAGAGACAGAAGGTGCGAGAAAGGTGCGAGAAAGGGGGAGACGTCGGAGACGCAGACGGGCGAAGAGACAGAGGACAAGCAGGGTCTGACCTTGTAAACCTCTCCATACGTCCCTCCCCCGACCCTGTGCAGGATCTCGAAGTCATCCTGGGGGTTCCGGGTGGAGATATCCAGGGCAGCCCGGTTCTGAGGGTCCATCACTGCTGTGTCATGGCACTGGCCCGGCGCGATCTGGCTGTCAGTGTGGCCCGCAACTCCGCACAATCGAGCTACAGCTCTCTCCGGCTCTCGAACTCCCTCCCTCTCTCTCTCTGTGGTTCATTTACATCGCCCTTGCCTTATTTCCTGCTGTGTGTGTGTGTGCTGTGTCGTTGTGCGCGTTTGTCTCTTCTTGCTGCTCCCTGTTGTTTCAGACATCAGGTATACTGGTGCATCTCCAGGTGTCTGGATGTCACAACCTTGTGTGCATGTCCTTAAACCTGTGTGCAGCTGTCGGCATTGCTTTCTGCCCACCAATATTGTTGTTTGTGTGTGTGTGTGTGTTTGTATTCCACACCCACTGCAAACCTGTCCTAGTTAGAGACAGTTTTCTCAATTCTGACTGGTTTCCTGTAAGGTTACTTATTACAAGTAATTATTAAACTAAGCAAATGTTGCTAACATCCTTATAAAACAACTATTTAACCTGGACTTACTGTAAATACAACAGAAGAGTCTCATGACTTCAAAGTTAGAAGCTACCATATACATCATTCCTGAAAACTACAGGTTATTTAATAAACTTTTTTCACCTTATCTACCTTGTTTTCTGTCTGATCTATTTTGTATGAATCTCACAGATTACGTCTTGCTCTGTGCAGGTCCCGGGCACAAGCCCTCACCATTTTGTTGTTTGTCTAATGCTAAAACTCGTGGGTGTTTCTACAACACAATGAGCTGTTGTTTTCAGGGTAGCAAGAGCTTTTTTTTTTTGGTCAGGTAAACTTGCACAGTCAATTTAGAAAACAGAGAGCATCAATAAGAGGTCTGTAATTCACTGTCATAAATGCTTCCATTTTCTGAAAGATTTCGTTTGTTTGGCAGAAACCCTAGAGAGCTGCCACCAGCTCTAGGCGGAAGAAGGAAATGATTTGCACCGCTTTGCAGAAAAGGAGGGCATGTTGGAGCGATTCCCCTAATGTCTCCTGGGTGACGGTAGGTTTTCTGGGGCTCTTGAAATCGCCAGGAACTTGAGATCTTTCAAAAGAAATATGAATTGGGGAATAAATGAAGCTGCCTTGAAGGGAAGGCTCTGACCCACAGGTACTGGTGAGATATGCTCTCTCAGAGCGTACACGCTCATCAGAGTGGAGAAGGAACAAGAACAGGCCCTCGGCCCCTCCTGCGCGTGTTGCTGTGTCCCCCTGCAGTCCAGGCCCAGGAACTGGATGCGCTGGACATGAGCTCTCCCCACGGATGAGAGCGCCTCGAGCCCAAGACCCCGGAACCTAACCTGCGCGGCTCTGCGAGGGGTCAAGAGCACCCAGGTGAGCGAGGCAAGACCATGCAGGCTCCACCCAGACAGTCGCCGTGTGGCACCAGTGCTAACCAGCCTGCAGCACTCTGCCCTATGTTGCCGCCAACGTCTCCCCATGCAGATGAAAGCCACTTGATGCTGACTGATTTTGACGGATTTTTTTTGCTCTTCTTTTCTGTCATCAGACAAAAGGCAGCTCTTTTCCCAGAGCTGAGCCTGCCTTCAGCCCTGGGAGGAGGAGAGGGCGAATTGTGCTCTGTTGAGTCGCCTGCACTTGTTTGCTGTATGTGCAGTTGTGCAGAACACACACAGTGCAGCCGGGGAGGGGGGGTGGGAAGATTCGCAGCAGTGGGGGCATGTCAAAGAAAACCAGTTATATTTAGAAACGGGTGAAGAAGAGGCAGGGACGTTTGGTGCGATGTGCAGCTGTGAACGACTAATAACCTTTTTTTTTTTGCTTTTGTTGGTTATAAAACCTGTCTTATGAGGGAGGGTCTGTTGGTTTTTTTTGTGTCTGTTTAGTCAATCAGAGACAAGCCCACAGTCTCTGTAAAATAACGGCTAACCTAGACTCTGATGCCCTCCCACACAGACCATCCACAGTTTTCAGTGCTGTACGATAGAACATAATAGATTACTCCAATAGCCCCTTACACACTGAAGACATTGCCCTTACTTTACAGCGTTTACTGTGTCCGCTGCTCTTTGTCATCGGAGTTGTGCTCTAAAAATTGGGTTGAGCTCCAAAAATTGAGAACATTAAAAGTTAATTAAATACAGTTATTGAGAATAAGAGATATTTCCTGCTGTAAACCAAAAAGAATATAACAGAATAAAACTAGAACTAACTAGCACATAATCTCTGAACTCATTTTAATATATTTGGGGGGACTCCAGTTTTATTTGATAATATTTGCATGTGGTTATTTTATTGAGGAAAACAGGAGAACGGTTTTGCAATACAGTCGACAGCTCTAAAGGTCATCCTGTTTTTCTGGTAGGAAGTCTTCTTCAACCAGACAACTGCCAAAACAGCGTTGCCATGCTAAATTCAGTCAATGCTAGTGTACGCTGTACAGGAAGTATGTGCAACATGCAATAGATGCATTTTGAATGTCTCGCCTATTTAAAGCAGTTCTAAAATTGCTGCCATGTCTTACATTAATAATACAAGGCTTTACTTTTTCAGAGAACAGTTGCCAGATTACTGATTAATGTAAGCTTCTCTCTCCTTATCACTCCTGTGCTAATGCCACTACACTGGTTACCAATGAGCTTCTGAACATGTGATCATTGTTCTATAATAGTCTATGCTATGCTGCATCAAGTAGGATCTGCTTAACCTGAAAGGCAACTGTGCTTGTTTCCAATCCAATTTTCTTTCCAGGTGGGGACAGACTCTTCGCTTACTGTTCTCTGCCTGCCTGGAATTCTTCTTTTCCCAGGTTGGCGTGGGAAATCTGAAACTTCACATTAATAGCAAAACTAGAAAGTGCAGCATATATTGAGTTGGTCACAAGAATGTGCCACACCCACAAGCATAATGTTTTGTCTTAGTGGACATTTCTGACCTATGGAACAAGTCAATCTCTTTGGCTTACAATAGAGGTTGTTTGTCACAGTGAGCACCCCTTTTCAAAGCTCTTTACACAGTCCTGACACAAGAGGACAATAGTGTACAGTGAACGGATTAGCCCCCGTGGCTTCTCACAGTTGGCTGGGAACTGGCTGGGTCACATGGGCTCAAGTGAGGACCAGGCTGTCCTCACTTTGGTTTGCAACATGGTGACTCCTGTAGACTTCATTCATTGGAATATCTGTTCCTCATGGGGTATGTTTCTAATTCATTACTGTTAGGTGACACAAGAATT